AAAACCGGCAGGCTCTCTCCCCTTGGTGCTTTATCGTATAATACAAAGTAGCATTGGTCTCGAGCGTTCAACCGTCACCTGTTTTTTCAGTGTGAAAAAGATGAGCTAACATGAGAAGTTCATTTGAGTACTCTGTACATTGTGCTAAGAACAGTTCTTTGGTAGACGATGCCACCCTATCTAAACACGGAAAAATATCTAAATACGAGAATCTGCAAACTATGTAGGGTATAGAGTGTTTACCGAAACGCCACCTGAAAGTTAAAACCCCCACTTGTATACTGCGTGAGATTGGAAAAAGTATCATCATAAGAAAGATTTCATAGCACCTTGGTGCTCCATTTGAGAGAATGGGTGATTTAGTACATATAGATTAATAGCCAACAAGGTTAATGTTTGCTGCAGATAGTAACTCCCCGGACATGCAAACATAGACATGATGCATACAGATCATAACACAGCATTGCTCATCACCTCTGCTTCTGAATCGTTGAACAAGAGAGATATCCCCGGCGGCATCTATCATAGCCCCAAGCAGATTAAGATAAGAACGGGTCTCTTGGTGAGACTAAGGGCTGAACACTTTCTTGAACCGGAAATGGGAGAGATCCCGGATGACCTGCGCAGTGCTCTTCATGTTCTCCTTGACGATGTATGACGTGGGTTTAGAGAACAACTCATCGATCTCTTCCAGAGACTTGTTCTTTGTTTCCGGCATGAAGATGACCTGGTAGACCCAGCCGATTGCGGCGATGCCACCGTAGAAACCCAGAGTGAGACCGATACGGGTCATAGATTTCATCATGGCGGTGAAGTTGTAAGTGACGATAAACGAGCAGAGGAACAGATTGGCGTCGGCAGTGGTCATACCATAACTACGAAGGTAGGTGGGGAACACCTCAGATGGGATAACCCAGGTCAGACAAGCGTATGAGCCAAAGAAACCCATGTAGAGGATGATTCCGGTGAGGTAGACACCCTGGGCGGCCACTGGGTTCCGTTCGGGATTAATTTGATAGCCCACGCCAACCAAAACAAGACCGATAAAGAAGCACGGCAGCATGGTATTGGCCCAGTAACGCCGTCCGAATTTCTCCATGTACATGACCGCGGGGATCGTGCCGATCAGCAAAGAACCACCCCCCACTAGCGACATGAAGACACTGTTCCGTTTATCGAAACCAATATTCTCCATAAGAGTGCCCATGTAGTACATTACGGCGTTCACACCCGTTAGCTGGCCGAGGACAATCATGATGTTGGCGTAGACCATGGCGCGACGAGCACGAGGATTAGTAAAGAAGTCCATCCAGGCGTACTTCTTGGTGTGCTGCTGCTCCTCGTTCTCTGACTCCACCGACTGGCGCATACCTAGGAACTCACTCTTGGCATCTATATCCTCGAAGCCACGGATCTTTTTCCAAACGCCATATGCTTCCACCGGCTTGTTCTTGTGCATCAAGAAACGAGGACTTTCGGGCAAGAACAGCATCCCGGCGAAAAGAATGGTTGAGAAGACCAGGGACGAGCCAAGAATATAGCGCCAGTTGCCCTTGACGTCAAGGAAGATGGCAGCAACTGCATAACCAAGGACCTCGCCCAAGGCAATGTTTAGCTGGTACAGCGAGACCAGGTTACCACGGATCCGTGATGGGACTGTAATAGTTAGCGGATGGAGCCCGACTGCGGCGAGAACAAGGCAGATGTTTGGTTACATACCACATTCAGCAACATAAACCGGAACGGTACCACCCTCCAGACCGACACCCATACCCAGAATGAAACGACCCGCAAACATCATGCCAAAGTTGACCGCGCCGGCCTCCAAGGCAGCACCAATGGTGTAGAGGATGCATGATACGATAATAGCCATACGACGGCCCAAGTACTCGTTGGCCGGAGAAAGGATTAGCGCACCTCCCACGGCACCCAGTGGCATACCGGCATTAACCAAGCTGGCGTGCGAGTCAGACAAATGCAAGTCATCAGGCATGTAGAGGTTGGCACCACTGATCAAGGACTGATCCAGGCCAGAGAGTAAACCTCCCAAGGAGGCAAATGCGACTAAGATATAAGTGAAGTAGGCCGGGTTCGACAGGGAGACCTCGAAGCGTGACTTCTTCAATTCCCGCAACTGGTTCTCCAGTTGTTGGAGCTCCATATCCATGGCAGCCTCGTCAAAGGCAGCAGTGCCCTTGGGGTCCTGGAGGACATCATCCATCTCCACGGCCGTGGCATCCTTGTGGTCATCATGGGAGGCCTCAACATCCTTTAGAGACCCCATGATGGAGGCTGATATCGTTGGAAATACTCGGGGGTGGGTATGAACTTATAATACAAGGGGGGTGTTGATGGTATAGCCAACCGATAGACCAACAAGTGTCTCTCAGGTACTAGGGGAGATGGAAAGGAATCATTTAGCAACTACGGAAGAAAAGAAGAAAGGAAGGAAAAGGAAAAGCGAGAAGGTCAGGCAGCCGAGACAGCACGGGACTTATAAGGCCATTGTCAGGCACGTCACCCCATTCAAGAACTCTACAGGCTTTTGTCGCGCCGAACGGCACCTGACTGTGGGGGCGGCAGAATCAATGCAAAATATCTTGGGGTAGATTACTCGATGACTAGATGACTTGATTATGAGATTGATCATTGGTAGCCAACGAGACAGTGGAGACGTCATGGCCCTGAGTTAAAAAAGAAAAACATTTGTTTCTTTTTCTTTCTCGGGTTGAATAAGGAATGTGTACCGTCAAGACAAGAGGGACCGTGAGTAAGGAGACCTGGAGATGGAATGTTGTTGGGTGAAAACTCCGGAATCACTCCGCATGGAGACCATCGGGAAGGGGAGAAAATAGAGGAGAGCGCCGATCCCCACACGGCAAATAAACCTTCCCCGTGGAGGGCAAAACCTACGACAATTCAAGAAGCCGAGTCCGGCAACGGTAGAATTTCGGGGACTCTCCGGGTTTATTCGAGTAAAGTGTCGAACATGTATCCAATGGAAGAAGGTCAATTGCGGGATTTATGGAGCGTCATCGGAGAGAAAATCAGAGGGAGAAAACGCCCAGCACGAGGAAACCTTCCATCTGCCCACCCGAGCCTCTCATTCGCCTGTTCCTCGTTTAAGATTCCGCCAGGAAAGGCTTAGTTGCATCGAACCATTCGTCCCAACCCTGGAAAACGTGGGGGGTCTCCATTTCTCGTGAGGTAACAAGTGTGGTATTTACTTTGCTCTGCTCCGAATCTGGTAGGAGTAAAATTGTTATTATCCACCTATTGTCGTTCTTGTTACATACAAGTACTCACTACATGGGTGGTGGCTGTTCGTTCTTCCGCCCTATACAATCACATGATATCAATCATATTGGCTAAAAAGTCAAAGCACTCTCTAGCCTGTCTCTAGTACTCCACACTGTACATGTATCAGTAGCACACCAAATTACATTAATTAGTCGAGAAGCAATGAACAGAGAAATAATAAAGAAAAAAAGTGAGGTCCTCTGGACAACACAGACACTAACCAGCAGTACCTGCCTTCTCGGTGGGGTATCCATCCATCCTCTGCGTCAGATCACTTCTTCCTGGTTTCCCCGGTAAAGCCAACTTCTAGAGAACCGCTAGGAAAATTTTGTTTCGGAGGGCTCCATCTTTTTGGCTAAATTTTTTTAAAAAGATTTTTTTTTTTTCCATCGCATCCTTCCCCCAACCGGTTTTCGTACGCTAGGATCCGATCCGCCATAGTATGGTGAAGCTGGCCGACCGTTCGGGTTCTGTCCGGGACTAGGCGACCGGCCTCCATGTAATCTAGCCCGAAGCCTTTCTTGCGCCGAAGCTGCCCGTTCCAGAGGTTGAGTGCCGGACAGCGATTGATATGATCCAGCTCGCTGGCTGGGCAATGGTCGCGCTCCGCCCGGGTGCAGAGAGGGTGGGGTAGGCGACTGACTGGGCGGTGTTGCGATAGACCCCGGGGGCGCACTGCTCGTGGGTGCCAACGGCGCACCCATGCTACCAGCAGCCCGTCCTCGCCGCAAGCTAGCCGTCTGAGAGGTGGGAGGTTGTGCCGACCCCGAATCACCCCACAGATCACCTAATCCACCACCACTACCACGTCCATACGTCGCGGTTGCAGGAGCCGAACCATGAGCGCCGGACTGGATTTGAGTCGTCGCAATGGTCCGGGCCGGCGCAGGTGTTGGGGCTTTGGGGTTGGGGGGCAGCCAACCGGGAAACGGGCGGCCTTTCTCGCTATAATAGGCGCGTAGAACGTTCGAGATGTGAGAGCAGTCCTCGTGGTCCGGGTCGTCCGCCTCGTCGCCCAGAGTGATCGCCCGGCGAAGGGACGTCAGGCGGGTGCCGAGATTCGAGATCGCCGATGAGGACGTGAGGGAAGAGAAATAGGAAGACATCGTGTTGTGCGTCGTTGTTCAGGAGTGACACCGAACGTTCGTATAGTGGCGGGGTGTTCGATGGCGGCAAGGTTGATGCGGTGTGGACCGAACCGAATGCGACAACACTGGAATGCTCGACGAAAGAATCGAAGCTGGCGGTTACGGCAATGCGGGTTACAATGACAATGGATACGATATCTCAACTAACAGCCGCCCAAGTAGGAGACAGAAAGCGTCTGCCACATTCTTTGCCAGGAGGTTAATTTGGCTTCATTAAGTCATTACACTTGGCGCTCCACTCGCTTGTTTCATCCCGGCACGTGACGCCTATCTTCCAGGAGAACGGAGTATATCTACCATGGGTCACTATCAGTTACCAACACTTTATCCCCAGGGTCTTGAGAGTCTGTTAAAAAAATAAGAGTAAAAATCATATTAAATCCGCAGGACCAGGAAGGTGTTTGTAAACTATGCAGAGACTGGGTATGACGCCCGATCGTAGCAGATGTGACTTCAGAGACAACAACCAGACAACGCCGTGCAAAATACAACAGACCAGAGTACTTTTTTGTTTTAGTCGGTATTTTCCAATATTGAAGAAAAGCCCCCGTCTTATGCGAAGAGATTCTCCTTGCCAACGCCCTCGGTTTCGTACTCAATCTCGATCCGAGGACCCTTCTTCCGGGGTTTAGCCTGGGGAGCAGGACGCTTCCTCTTAAAGCCAGGCGCGGGCTTCTTCTTCTCATCTTCGCTGTGCTCGCTAGAATCCTCTTCGTCGCTGTCCTCGTCGCTGTCCTCGTCCTCGTCATCATAGTCATCACTGGAGTCTCCCGAGTCCGCACCCAGCCAATCTTCAATATCTTCCAGATCCTCCTCCTCATCAAGGTCGCTAACGTACTCAACCTCACCAACACCTTCCTCCTCCTCATCTTCCAACTCTCCATCATCAAGATCCTCATCACGCTCACCCTCACCCGCGCGCTCCAGGCCGCGAAGAACCTTCTTCCAGATACCCTCCTCCACATTCAGCGGTGCTTCACCGTAAGCACCACTGCGCAATCTCTCAATAAGCTCTCTCTCAATCGCCCGCTCAACCTTGGCTGCCGATTCAGCCTTGCGCTCACGAGTTTCCTCTCTCCGCCGAATCTTAGGCGCCATCTTCGGCACAATCCTCTCCCCCAGTCTCTCCTCCTCTTTAGCCAGCTTCTTCATGCGAATAGCCACCTGCGTCAGTCTCGTAAGACGCTGCTTGCACTTGTGCACCAGGTACTTGGGCCAGTAGATTAGTCGCTCGTCAAGTTGCTCCAGCGCCTTTGCGTAGTTCGACGACAGCTTTATCCGTTCCCACCATTTGCTGGGCATATGTGCGCGTTCCACGGTCTTCATGTAGAGGTACATCACGCCAGTTTCGGGATCCGACCGCACTGTGGCATAGCGGGAGTTGGCCAGCGGGCAAGACTGACGGTTGCAGAGACCGCTGACATTGTATTCGTTTCGGCAGAAATTTTGGCCTTTGGTTGTTCTGGAGGTGGAAGTGTTAGTTAAATAATGTATTATTTTTTTTACTTAGAAATCCCTTTATCATTTGTTTCCTCCTTGGCATTGGCTTGTTGTGTCTCTTTTCTCTTTTCTTTTTTTTTCGGCGGGAGATATGCAAGTATTTTCATCGGGAACTTACTTCAGTTTATAGGAACAGAATTGCTGGTTGATAACCTGCCAAACAATCTCGTCCGACGACATCTTGACTAGAGCCGGCCAGGAATCTCAAAATAATGGCCTAAACCGTTGTGGTTGGGAGAAGAAGTATCTTTGCTATGCGGCTAGACTTTGCGAGAACGATTGATTCTGCCGCAAAAAAAAGTTGCCGCAGTGGTCATCACGTGAGGATTTCTTATCGATAAGACTCTCCAGGAATGGCAACCGATTGCAAAACATCATCTACAACTGGTTAATCTCGCTACTATTAGTAGATTGTGCTTGGTGCGATATAACTGAGAGCCAGATGATCATATCTATTGGGGTATATGTACTTCACTCATGATTGTCATTATACTTTAAGATGATAAAGCAACATATTATCTCGATGCAAAAACCGCCTCACCACCCTTCCATTTGCAATGGGCCTCCGTCCCATTCAGTTCCTTCTGGTAATTGCCCAGCAGCAGCAGCCATCTCGGCTTCCTCGCTGGTGCCATTGAGCATTTCCTCGCCTGCAAGTCCCCAGCCCATTGATTCGAGCTCTCGCACAAAGAAATCGCGCTCCTCTTCCATGAGTGATGCGCCCTCCTCACCGCCCATCACGTCTTTATACCGCCGCAGGTGCCACCAGTGTGTCAGGCCACGGAGTGCTTGTTCGAGAGGCAAGGCTTCTTCCACTTCCGCATCGATATCTGATCCCGCCAGCCAGTCATCTCGCAGCTCCGGACGGCAGTAGAGGTAGATGGCGGTAATAACACGCATGTTGCTTTGGCGCCATTTGCGGCCACAGTAAGGGACCTGTGATTTGAATAGCTTAAGGGTGTAGAACCGTAGATACGGATCTGGTATTTTCAGCCCTTTCCGAAGGATAGTACTAGACTTATATTGCACCAGCAACAGACATCTGTGGGCTTTGTCACGGGTAATCTTCTGCATGATATGCAAGTAATTGATAGCAGAAAAGAAATTGCGGAATGAAAACACCTTGATCGGCTCTTTAGGTGGAGGTGCAGTAGGGTATCCCAGCTCATCCACCTCAGGACGAGGGAGATCATGTCCGTTTAAGAACTCTTCAAAGTCGTCCTCCGGGGATTGTACTCGTATGGAAGAGTTTCCTGGATCCACGTCTGGTCGATGCCGAGCAATTGGGGGAGGAGCCGCCTCATCCCCGCTTGATTCCTCGTCCGAATGCGATGGTACTGGCGGTTGATCCGACTGAAGAAGACAGAAATGGAAGAAGCTTATTCTTGTTAGTAATTTTGGCCGGTGGGTGAAAATTGGAAGGGTGCGTACCCCAGCTCCTTGCGGTCAAACTTCTGTGCCACGGCTTGATCAATGTCTTGGTGGGCAAACATCTTCAATATTAACGGCAGGTAATTGGAATCGAGCAACAACTGCGTCATATATTCAAATTTCAATATGTCTAGGCTCGGTCAGCAACAATATCATCCGATCTGCACTAGAGTTATTAGCTTACGAGATCTTTTAAACCACTTTATCAGAAGTAACAGAGATCCTGAAATGGCTTTTCCAGTAATCTCCCGAAGCCGAATGTTGTCAAGTTCCTCAATAGCAGCCTCGGAGTTCAAATCCTCGGAAATAGACACTGGCCCGGGCCCGGATCCATTAACGCCGTAACCATCGCTAGGCACATGTTAACTTAATGCTCAGTACGAAGACCAGAGATAGGGCCCATACCTCATTCCTTGGCCGCCTTGAGTCTGGTTCACCATAGCACTGACGTTCGTCAGGATTATCTTCAAGAATACGATAGTGATGGACTGCAAATGCACCAGTGCTTGTGTCTAGAAAACTTGTCAGGCCATGTCTTTTTCGAAATACGGAGAAAACCCACATAGAAAGACTCCACGGCATCCAAGCGCCGTTGGATATCTTCGTCATCGGTTTCCTTGATGGGAGACCTCCCTGGAGTGTCCTTCTCTCCTTGCTTCAAATCTAAGTCTTGGAAGTCCTCGAGAAGTTCGTCGGGAATATTCTTATCAGACGCAGTCCCGTTATCATCTAGATACCAGCCGCGGTCATATTTCATGAACCGTTCACGTTCTTCCCAAAGTTGTCGCATCGCTCTAGTCATTTTGACGTGTGTCGAGAAAAGTTTGCCGGCCTCGATGATTGAGGCTGGTACGTCACTTCCCTCCCACCTCTTGCCTACGAGCACGTCTTGGAGCTCGGTTGTGCCTTTGCCACCAATGTCGTTGCTGGAAACATCTAGAGGTGGGTACATGAAAGGAAAGTTTTGGTTCGTCTGATAGTTTTGCTTCTTCCCCGCTTTACCCCCCGGGCCAATTGGTGATGGAGGAGGGGAAGGCGCAGGTGTTGCTATGTGGACCGACTGATGAAGGATTGAACCGTTACCACCTGCAACAGATGGGCCGACCCCAGAGAAGAGGCCATTAGATGAAGCTCCTCTACTGGGATGCTGGGGAAGAGGAGGGAGAATAGAATTGTTCTCCAGTTCCAGAGGAACTACAGGTGGTGGTGGGTTGTAGGCCGGGTATTTAGAAGTAATTTCTTGCCGAAATATGTGATAATCGAGAGGCGATGCAGTCAGAAAAGGCGTCCTGCGAGACGTATCATCCTCCCTTTCTTTAAATGTTGGTTCCAACTCTTCCTTGGCCCTTTTCAACTCGTCACTGCCGCCAAAGAATAGGAGCAAAGACTTCCAGAACAAGAGTATTATTCTCGTAAGTGGAATGTTAGCAGAGTCATCCCATCGTAGGCGTGCGATAACCTCAACCAGGAATACCAATAGATTCGGTTTCAAGCCAATCAGGGCATCTCTTAATGGTGTGTGCCGTGGATCTCGGGCCTCTTGTTTCCTACCAACCTCCACGATCATGTAAAAAGCCGTAAGGACCAAATTTGCCTCACGCTCCATGGCAGCGAGAGATGCTGGGTTCGTACTCTCGGCCCCAGCGCCAGCAGATTCACTACTATAAGAGGCACGATTTTTTCAAAAACGCGGCATAAACACTCGTGCAACGGCGCCAAGCCTGAGCTTTCAAGAACCATGTTGGCACCATTCTCGATCCAACTGATTTGTAATGACTTAAATTTCGGGACCTCTGCGGCTTCCTTGTCAGACGGATCTTCGGGATAATCATCTACAGTTCTCCCGGCAGTGGTACCCCAGACGCCAGTCACAATATAACAAACGACTTCCAGGGCTTCAAGGCGCACCGAGACCTCGCGCTCCCGTATGCCATTTACCACCTGAGCCATGAATGCCATTCGCTGATCATCAGTAGTATCTACCCATGATAGCTGCGAGGACCCAGCATTATGGGACTCAAGGAAAGAAGTCCACTGCTTCTCGAACGATGATTTCATGCCCACCAGCATAGCTCTGTCAAACTCGCTGTACTGGAACCATTCTTCAATCTCTTCCGCAAATGGCTGAGAATCAGCATATTCAAATGCATACGCAGGTTGCTCGACCCTCGGCATCTCCTGCACGAATTGCCTGAGTTGTGCAAGACTTAGTGAGTCCGTGGACCTTTCTAAGTTCTGTTGCACTGGAGCCGGTGGTGGAGGCTGTAGAGGCGGCGGCGGAGCTGCAGCATCACGACGCAACTCCGGTCGCCGGTGAGGTTTTCCAGCCTCACCTGGGGCAGATGGTGTGCTTCCTGAGACTCGCTCCTGCCGTAGGCCCTCGGCGACTTCTTCCATCAGCTGATCGTCTGGGACAGGGGAGATATCTGTCCCTGTTTGGTCGACCTCATCCGCTTTGACAATGTGGTGTTCTGACATTGCCGTATCGGCAGACTCTGCTGTATCATCCATCTTTTGGGCTCTGAGAGCTTATCTCCCACTTCTTTTAACAACTAAATGTAAAATGTGCAAGAATATCAGGGGTATCTGTTCTTGGCAAAACAAAGAGAAAGGAGAGGGTAAATATGTGTTAAGGTTATAATTTGCTAATAGTAGACCTTGGTGCAGAATAGACAAGGCCTGGCATGTTAATCAGTGAAGTTAATGAGACATGATGGAGTCTCTTGGCGGCGTTGGCGAGTTCCCGCAACATGTTTCGATAAACGATGGCAGAAATCCGAGACAATTGCCTATCTGCGGGCGAGACCGATCACGTGCGAGGCACCACGGAGGTATATCAAGGTACCAGGATCAATGGTTTTTTTGGAGTTGTAGCGTTCTATTGTCATTTGCTATTTTTCTATAACGTACCTTTAATTGACTTTACGAAGTGTCCTTCGTTATGCATGTAGCAGTAGTGTGTTCCTATTGAAGAGAATACAACTGGGCTCTCACCGCCATTAAACATATATTCAATTGGTACGGGACCCAGAATATTCTACACGACAGATCTTATAGCTTCTAAAGATTCATATCCTAAACCCAAAAATATCTGTTACCATGTGTAAGTATTATAGAAACTTCCTGATAGAGTTACAAAGGGCTTGCGACTTTCACATGTATATGATCTATACTTATATTGACCAGTATGCTAAAAGAAGTGAATCCAAGGGCATCACAATCACCAGGCTGTATGCCCTTTCTTTCAAAATCTAAGAAACGAAGTATACGTAGCTCAAGCATCTGTACAGTTCAGTCGGTCTTCGGAGAGCGGGAATTACTACTAATATGTCCCCGACGCTTTAACTTCCGCTTTGCTTCCCATTTTTGCCATCCGGCTTCGGCTAGATCTTCACTTACCACTAAGTCCCGTAGTCTCAACTGCGTCGATATGGTCAAATCTAATCCCCAGTCAATCCAGCCATGTGCCCGGAGGAATGCAGTAACGAGAAACCAAGCAAGTGCACACCCAATACCAGCACCACAGCCTGCCAAAACCTGTTTGGGCGTATGGTAGTTCAGATATATACGACTGATGGCCACGGCACCGGCGCCAACGCTCAATCCCATGGCAAGTACTATCCGTATGAGAATATGGAATGATGACTCGGGGTGTGTGGGATTATGCCGGAAGATAAGGAACAGCCCCAGATACACGGCGAAATAGGCGACAAATTGCGCATGGGATGATGGCATGCCGTAGCCTTTACCAAGCATTTCTGTGTCAAGGGTTCAGTCAGTGATTGAATACAACTCGGTCTGATGGACCGCCAATCGACGTACGCTTCGGCCGTTCCTCTTGAATGATCCGCTTTAACACAAAGTTCAATGCTTCACAGCCCATCTGGCCTGCGAACATCAATAGCACCTCCACTTCCCTTGTCGCCCAAATAAGAGTGACGTAGGTCACGCATAGTGCCTGGGGAACCAGGGCAAGCCAGGCCGACAAAAAGGAGAGCGGATCGTTTGGATTCTACCATAGATGCACATGCCTCATCAGTTCCTTGACCACACTAGAACGCGCGCGGAAATTCGAAGGAACTTACATAATGGACATGTGTCAAAGACAAAGACGCCAATGGCGTGTCAGTCATGTTGATGAGTCGAAATCGCTAACCGAAATTATTCTTATTTTGTAATAAATTATGGTCTTTTTCTTTTCTCTCCTCCTTGCCCTTTCCGCTTCTTCAATCGTTCTCCGGTTCTCCGTTCGAGGACAACAAGATGGGAGTACCGAAGAAGCAAATAATAGATTTTAACTTAGACGGGAAGACATAAATAAATAAGCAGGTATCATTGACCGACAAACATTATGGATGTAGAACTATCCAAGGAATCCTCAACCTCAGAACAAGACTAAGTCTTAAGAATTCGATTGCGCATAAAATTAAGTATGAATGCGACCCGTGGTTACGACAGCCCAGACCTCTTAAAGATGTCACATGCTCGGCAGGCGGGAGTCCGTGTCCCTCGCCGCTTTTGTCTCCCGCTCATGGGGGAAGAACGGAGTTGAATAGGGTCAAAGCGGCAACGTAAAATGAGGGGGAGGGGAAAAGAGTGCCTCAGGTTCCAGAAACATCATTGTCAAATGAAATGATGAGAGCGAAAGAAAAGCAAATATTAATTATGATGAATAATTACTTAGCTTAAAAAAAATCAGGAAAAATTTAAAACAGCCTCTTACAAGAAACAAAAAACAAAAAAATGACTCGGGCAGCAAATCATGCCTGAAGTCCTTCAAACCACATGCGTTTCTGTCGGTCTATGAGTTGTTTTCAATTCCTTTTCACTTTCTCTCTTCTTCTCTGAAGTCACTACACTTCATTGATCTGCAACCGAGAAATCAAAATTTCATTGACAACTCCATCTTTACTATCTTTTCCGTTTCCTTTTCTTTTCTGACCTTCAGTCAAAACATGACGCACTTCTCCTCACACGTTCAATCCGATATCTGGTTCTGTCTTTCTGTCTCGACCAAGATACTCCTATCGCAGACCATTCATTCTGACCTTCACCACTGCCAGAATTTCCACCGTCTGACAGCTCCATTCCCTCCCTAATTGCGCTGCCTGTCACAATCTGTCGCAGTACCTGAAAAGTAAGAAAGGATCATGGGTCCCTCTCGCTCGGTTCTTCCGTATTTCGCCGTTGCCACAAGAATGACATCCAGCCTTCTTGCAGCTTATCACTGTTAATCTATAACTGGTGATTTACTAATCGACGGTTTAGCTGCATACTCCTCTTAACCTTTTCCTGGACTCAAAGCCCTCCTTGAAGACTTATCGGCGCTTTTCCCCTTCGCAGACACCCTCACCCAGAGATCCTCGAAGGCATGACATTTTTAAGCGGTACATATACCATGGTTGTGTCAGGAACATTCCATTAAAGAATCTGCCTCGCCACCTTTCATCAACCACCCACCCTGAATAGAGAACCGACCTGCATATCCCCTTCTTCCTTCCTTCTTTGTGACGGCCTTACCCTAATATGACTGATACCGAGTTGCTTGATGACGAACGCTCTGTTGAGCTGTCATCTATCGCGGCCATCTATCCGGAAATCAAGCTCGACCCTTCGTTCTCTTTTAGGGCAACTCTAGATATACCTGTCAATCCTTCACCACCTTTACGGATCTGTTTCGAGCAATATTCGGAGACTGAACTTCCAACTGTCCTGACTCCGCCCACATCCCTTGATGTTAGTGAAATTAGCTTGGGCTTCGCAACCAAAACAGTTGATGGAGGCACCACGGCAAGCTCCGATGAAGATGTGCATGTCCTATCACACCTGCCCCCGCTTTGTCTGGAAATCGAATTGCCCGGTGGCTACCCATCAGAGCAATCCCCAATCATTAAGCTTAGCACAGATCCTGCGTGGCTGCCCTCTTCGATCATCTCCAAGCTATTAGATGATGGGAAACGCCTCTGGGAAGAATGCGGGAGGGACCTCGTTGTATATACTTATATCGACCATCTTCAACAATTAGCCGAGGCAGCTTTTGGTATTGATGACATACCCGACGGTGAAGTCAGGCTCCCCCGAGAGCTTAAAATCGCACTCTTAGATCACAACAATAAGGCCGAGAGAGAAGCCTTTGAGCAGGAGACTTTTGAGTGCGGAGTTTGTCTTGAGCCGAAAAAAGGAGTAAACTGCCACCGGCTCTTACTTTGTTCGCACGTTTTCTGTGTGCCCTGTCTTCAGGACTTTTACAATACATGTATCACGGAAGGTGATGTGGAGAGTGTTAGATGTCTGGCTCCGGATTGCGGCAAGGAAGACAAGTCTGTACGAAGCCAGGAAGGGCAACCCAAAAGACGCAAGAAAAACGACCGGAGTCTGAGCCCTAGCGAGCTACTGCAAATTCCTCTGGAGCAGGAAACCGTACAGCGTTATGTCTTTTTGAAACGGAAGAAGAAACTTGAAGCCGATAAGTCTACTATATACTGCCCACGTCAGTGGTGCCAAGGCGCAGCTCGCTCGAAGAGGCATCCCAAGCCTATTGACCCCATGTCGGATGATCTAGATCCCTCCGATGATGAGGATGTAGGACTTGTGTTTGACCCGAATGGGGATGAGGCTCAGCTGCCTCCTATGGCGGATCGAGTGGCTGTTTGTGAAGACTGCAACTATGCCTTCTGCTGTGTGTGTAAGAAAGGGTGGCATGGCGAGCTTGTACGGTGCTTCCCCCGCCGGGAAGCAGAATTATCCGCAGAGGAAAAGGCGACAGAGGAGTATCTAAGGCTGTACACATCAGCCTGCCCAACATGCGATGCACCTTGTCAGAAACGCATGGGCTGCAATCATATGATCTGCTTCAAATGCGACACCCACTTTTGCTATCTCTGTTCCAGCTGGCTTTCGGAGGACAATCCTTATCGCCATTTTAACGATGGCAACAGTTCATGCTACAACAAACTCTGGGACCTAGAGGGTGGTGATGGAATCAACCCTGATGGGGCCGAAGCTCTCCATCAGATCCCAAATGAATTGATAGATTTCGACAGCAGTGATGATGAGGACCAGCCTGCCTGGGATTTTGACGATGACGATAATCACTTTAGGCGCCAAGGTCACCCTCCACCTCCTGCTCCGGCACCACCTCGTGTCAACCAGAGAGCTGGTGGTCCTGGGCGCCGCGAAGATGGACGTAACTTGAATGGTTTAGATGCAGCAGGCAGGGCTGCAGCGGCTGAGCGACAAGCACAGGCACGGGCAATAGCTGAGGTACGAGGCCGACCTGATCCTGAAGCAATTCGACGACCTGGTCTTCAACGATTTTTGGAACTGGTCCAGAACGATAGAGAAGATGAATGGGATAGCGACGAACTGGATGATGATTTTTGATGCATGACCTGCATATTCGAAAAAGGCGTCCCTTCGGGACATCTGTATTTATGTGTCAACGCCCAACTTATGTATGATGATCACGAGGTTTTTGCATCTACATCAGCGCATTAGTTTATTTTCTTTGAAGCGGTCCGTGCTATAAAATAAATGTGTCATAGTTATATATTTGACAACTTGGATCCCTATTGATGTACACGATCGATATGCTATTTGGAAACTAATTACCAACAGCTTCGAAATCCGGCAAACCCATTCATTTGAATACAATACTGACGTAGTGGACCACCCTCCCATCCATTTTGGTGAATGTATCTAGACAACAAGGTATCCCTCTTCATCACTTTCATCGTCCGCTGTGCCCGTCGGGGACCAGTTGTACCAGAATTCGTAACTCAGAACGGTATGGTCCGCAAAGAGAAGTAACAAGCGATAACGCCGAGATGGGTTCCAACCACGCCAAGTCTCCTCCGGTTGATAGGCACGTGTAGCCCTGGCATGACACTCTGGCAGAGTTGGAAAAGTCTGCTGCTCTTGTTCTGGGATGGTATCAACCTGAGTGCTGACTGTGGGTGTGGATTCTCTGGAGACTCTAGTACCACACGCTTCATAAGGGGGACGTAGGTCTTCGCCTAAAATATCGGATGATTTGGAGCTGTTTTGTAAACTTGCGTCAAGTTCGTCATTGGTGGTTGGCTCATAATGAAATTTCAGGCCATCCCCGTTGGCATCGTGCGGAATGTTAGGCACGTCAGGAGGCATCTCAAACCCTTGCATTGGGCCGACGCTCATGCCTAGGAGAGGGATGAGAGGTCGGTCACCGTACTTTTCCTGGCTCTCGAAAGGAACGATCCAGTCGACTCTGAATGATGGGCCATTGGCTTCCGACTCAGTTAGGGTGATCACTGCGGCACGACCTTTTTGCGAGGCGGCCACTACGATACCGTGTTCGGGGATATATTTGACCATGTTGAAGCGGTCGCATGCGTCTCGAAGCGATCCAACAATGTGGGTGAATTGTTGCCGAAGGGGTGTGCCACAGAAAACAGTTGCGCGAGGGGCAAGCGGATTAGGGATGAGACGGATATCTGTTTGGGAGAAGTGGAGTATCGGAAAGTTCGCATGCGTTGGAGCTGGAGTCGATGAAAAATCTATTAGTGACTCCCTTTGTCCATAGATACTGGGATCACTGGGGAAGGCACCGCGTGACATACGGTTAAAGACTTGGTAAGCAACTGCTTCTGAAGTTGATGTATCATCGCTCTCCGAGATATCATCATCTGCACCATCCATTTCTATGTCCTCGAAAGGGCTGACCTCTTCTATCGAGTAGTCGTCAAAGTATTCTTCGGCTCCGGGGATATCGCCACCTAGAGCTTCGAGAAGTGCTACTTGAAGAAATTCAGGCGTTGTCAAAGGGCCATGAGAAGGGGTATTATCGGTATGTTCTGTATCATCCACCCGATGGAAGGACCCATTACCACCCTGGGTTTCGCCCTCCTGGCTAGAATTCTGCTGGAGACCCGTATATGACTCCCCATCAGAACTTGCATTAGAGCTCAAATTATCTTCGAGTACAGAGCCGTCAACGGCACGGTGGCTGAATGCATCAGCGGAGTCTGAAGGCCGAAGGTTTCTGACATCTTGGGTGTCGCTGGGTTCTGGAGCCTCATCTGCGCGTCGACATTCCGCAGATAAACCATCATACACCGCATGACTAGTAGACTGGCGAGTACTGGTGTCTTTATTAATGCAGCAATCTGGTCCAAATATGTCAGGTAAGATCGGTTGTTCTGGTTCAGCCTTAACGGCAGGAGGAAAATAATTGTAGAGTCGAGACGCGTTAGGCACTCGGCTGCTTAGCTTTGTCAGGTCCAGGACCGGTCGGCCATTCTCTACACGACGTTGGGGATGACCACCGCACGCGTCCTTCGTCGATTTGAGTAGATGAAAAGTACGTGGGTCAAGGGCTATGACAGACCAACCACGCTCTTTACTACCTCGTCCGTCAGTGCGAAACCTACTATAGAAAACGTGTTGAGAAGTCTTACTCATGATTGAAGGTTTCCGGGTATCTGAAAGAAGCATCGCCGAAGTGGTACACGTTGAATGGGCCTGGGCCCTCCCAGGTCTTCCAAACAAAAACCTGATTTTCGATATCCGTACTGACCATCCATGTTCCATTCGGGTCAAGATCACAGTTGAGAAAAGAGACGGATGGTATGTTGGTAAAGTGACCAGTATAAGTTAAGCGTATGTTCTGGTTTCGGTGCTTCGCAGGCATCAAATGCTGTAGCTGTTTGAACTGCTCATCACTCTTGATTTCCAACCAAGTCTGGCCGTAATCAGTGAATTCTTCCTCCTCACTTAATACCTGCCCTGTGTCGCTGCCTTTTCGAGAAGCATGGTTCACAAGCGCAAATGCAAAAACAGTGACAAGGCCTGTGTTTGCGGTCACTGCAATCAGGCGGGAGAACTTGTGTATGGCTAGCCCCCAGGCGCTGGCTTCGACATATTCGACAAAAAAGGGGAGTACCTGGGAGCCATCAAAAGGGCGGTGCTCCTTGCGCTCTGCAGCCCGCTTCAAAGCCGAGAAGATAGCCTCAACACGATAGCCGCAGACATTGCCTGAATCAGTGACCAGCAGAAGGACTTCATCGCGTCCCAGATCATCCACAAGGATATTATTGATAGCGTGAGGCATATGTGGTGATATATACCCGCTACTATAAGGGTCCTTCATGACGGGAGTTATAATCATTTCAGGCTTTGCTCCAAGAGTCTGAAACGACCCAGCCGGCTCCCAGACATAGATTTGATGGGTATAGGCCACAAACAGAAGATTACGACGTTGAGAAAGAGCAGCCTTCAAGCATATCAGTGAAATTCATCATATAGAAGTGACGCTGCAGTTTACCAGATTATTCCGCCATGCTGCACCTTGCGGAGGAAACGAGTCTGGTGCTCTGCTGCGCCGTGCAACGCCTCAGTCAGTACTGCTCCATGACTGGCGGAGGAATGATAGAATACTTACGAAGAGAACTAATCGAACTGTCAGCTGAAGCATGTCCAAGAGGAAGCAATCCTAGTGACTTGTAATTCAACGTACTCTTTTTGCCCCTTTCTCGACATTCAAAGGTCTAAGATGTAGGCCTTCTCTGGCTCGGGTTTTCCGGCCTGGGGACCCATCGTCAATATTAAATTCCATTCCTACTATCGCTTCCACCTGAGAAGGTGGTACGGAGAACGACAAGTCCAAATCAACTATCAGTAGTGTAATAGGCTATGATTCACAGTTGGAAACATCAAGTGAGGGTGGTGAAGGCGGAAGAATATGCTCATTAGAAAAACAGGAGGGGTATATTTAATGTATCAGATCCAGGTGTGACATCACATGGAGTCTGAGGTCTATCACTTTGCAGACCAGGTAGCATGGTTGTGCTGAGTTCCCATAGTGACAAAGAGACAAGACATGACCATAATCTTCCTGGTCTATTTGGTCCTCTATGAGAACATGAATCTTATGGTTCGATGAAGTCAGCCAACCCGGTTGATCTGCCTCAGGCTGTAGCGTGCACGTGCCACATCGATGGTGAAACTCTCTTATCGGACATCGTAATAACTATCTATCGCAACAACCTTTTTGGTTTCGTATGAACAAGAACTGCCCTCAAGGAATTCGCGATGGATCTTGTCGCAAGTATCCGCAAAGAAGGTAGCCGGTAAGCTGCATATGCCTACATCAACCGTGCTTATGTTCGCTAACCTTACTCTTGCTATAGCGGCGGTCGCGGCGACTTTAAATGGTCCGATGTCAAGGACTCTTCGCACCGTGAGAACTATCTTGGCCATTCCCTGATGGCCCCCGTTGGCCGCTGGCAACAGGGCCGCGACTTGATGTGGTACACAAGGACAGACGATAGCGAGGAGGACAGGATTAGGAAGGAGCGCGAAGAGAAACAACGTGTCAAGGAAGCCGAAGAAGAAGCCATGGCCCGAGCTTTGGGTCTGCCAGTTCCGGAGAAGCGCGCCAGTTCTAACGCCAATCTTACGCCACTGGGCGAAAAAGATGTCCAGAAAGTAGTCCGGGATACGGCCGCAGGAGAAGACCTAGTGATCGACGAAGCGGGCAAGGGAATCGGCTACGGTTCATTTCGTGGCGGGGTTGCCTCTGTATCCGGCACTGGTGATGATGATAAACTTGAGCCTGTCGGACTGGATTCCCACTCTTCAGGGAAGCGGAAGCGGGGCAGTGAGCGTAACAGGAGCCCAGCGAGAGACAAGCGGCGCGATCGTTTGAGTGATAGAAACAAAGACAGGGATAGGGAACACAGACACCGTAGGCATCGCGATGAACGCGAACATCGTCACAGGAGTCACCGGCACAGATCTCGGTCTCGGTCTCGGTCGCGAGATCACCGAAGGAGGCGATCGCGCTCACGGTCAAGGAGCAGAGACAGGAGAGGTAACGACGAAGGCAGGAGCCGCCGAGACGACCGTCATCATACCCGGGATAGAGATTCAGATTACCATCGTCGGCGTTGAGTTCAGTCTTCGAAAATTCGTTCTGTCTACATACGGCGTTGGGGCGTTGGAGAAACGGATAGTGTACAAGTAGTATTCCCTAACCTAAACTATGCTCGCTCTATACAGCGATTGTTGCTGTTCTATAGCTCATCGTGCCCCTTGCTCTCAGTCACAGGAAGATCGGGCATCGACATCATTTTTACCACCATACTAGTCCACCCAGTGAAATGCTGCGTCCGCTGTCCCTTGCCTGTTTCTGGGTTATACTGTTCCCAAGCAAACCCAGTCTTCTTCCATTCCTTGAAAACATTCTCAACTACGTTCTTCCGCAGCTTGGAGTACATTTCACGGGCCTGTTCTTGGTGTGGACCAGGAGTGGTCGCGACGTCCTAGGGTAGAATCGTTAGCTCCAATGCGTGGTTGGTAGAGCATTGGTAGGTGGGTTACTTACATAAAGGTTCTTAAACACCAGATAATTGATGTTGATCCATACAGGACTCCTCCAATAATTCTCAGCAGTCCCGTAGAACTCATCCTTCTTGCTTAGACTGCGAATACCAAAATCGCTCCAGAGCTCTTCTGGGTCGCTGATCAAGTCCAAGATGGCCTTTAGCCGAGGGCTATCGGGGCTCACCATGCCCGTGAGGAAGGGGAAGATGGAAATGTATCCCTTGTGGCAGACGTGAACACTTTCCTCATACTCGTCAATAGTCGCATCGCAATATGTCTGCGCCTGTTCGTCCCAATGAAGGTCGTCGACATTCCGTCCAATTGCAGTTTCATAGTACTTGAATTCTTCAGCGTCTTCGGTCTCCCCCAACCTTTCAGCAATGCGTCGGAGAGAGCGAGTCATCATCCCCATCCAACTGATCAAATCCACGTGTAGCTCGCCGGGGTGTGGGGGCTGTGCCCGAGGATAATCGTCCAACCCAGATGTTAGGATGTGCTGGACAGACCGGCCCCGCCAGCGGTACGCCTCCTTGGTGGAAAAGGCCTCTCGGTCGTAGGACTTAATATCGCCCTTCTGAGTGTTTCTATACCAGAAATAATGTTTCTTCAGTAGTGGATAGATTGAGCGAATATAAGCTTCACCCAACTCCGGTTGTTGCACATAGGCAGAACGAAGGCGCTCTGCGATATCTTCAGAAGATTGTTCGACTGAGATATTTTTGTTGGCATCTAACTTATCGAGGAACGCTTCCAGAATAATGAAAAGGGTTGGGGGATTGGCGTAGTGAGGGTACTGGACGGTAAACTCAGGTGGAACTTTGCTGCGCGCCTCAGCGCCCAGGATTTGCTCCCGAGCAATCCACCCATCTTCGTCCATTAAGCTTAACCAACTCTTCACGATTTCAAGCCTGGAATATGTTAGTATTTAAATGACGATAGGGTTGCCGGCTAACAAACGCAAGATCTGTATCCCATTCAACGACCGGAATCAGGTGGAAACCCTCGTCCCAGAGAAATCCTCTGGGGAAGAAAGGCCGAGAGGGGACACAGGTAAAGAGATCCTTTGGGCCTTCAAGGACAGGTTGAGCCCTTGCCCTTGCCTCCGCTGTTTCTTCCCAGAAGCCTTCATTCTCCTCATCGTACTCTGGCGCTGCCGAGCGGTCAACAATATCGGTACCGTGGAAGTAGCCTATGCCACCAACGAGATTGGAAAGCATTGACTTGGAGAATTCCGTGTATTCATCGGAATCAAAGGGAGACTGCGGGGGGAGTATCTTGTCGAAGCGCTCAGCAAAAGCTACCGAAGCACTTGTGATTTCTTGGGTAAGAAGGCTGGCTGTAACGTATATCGTCAGTATCAGTCCCGCAACAATAATTGCGTGAAAAGCACCATACATGTCACAGGTTTGGGCGAGGACCCAGACGAGAATAGGATATCAAACTGTGATCTGTAAGCTGACTATTTGCAAATTGAATGGTTACCCGTTTACCTCAAAGGCCCCTTTAAAAACCTTCTGCACAAGCTGAACATTACCATCCCCTGGCGCATTCTTGATGGTGAAGACTTGCGATGGGGGCGGAGGGTTTTCCGCTCCATACTTCTCGATAGTTTCGCTTACACCCTCCTTCATCTGCGAGAACAGGATCACTAGAAGAGAGATCAGCTCTAGACCGGACATAATATATGCTTGTAAAAGACTAAAAAATCATACCTTTCGTCTGCCACGCGTGCTCCGGGGGTATAGTCAAACTGGACACCAAGGTACGGTCCAATGGCTTGTCCTCATAGCTTGGGTGTTCATGTTCCGGATACTCGTTGGTCTTAGGGCCCTCAGTCACATCAATTGTAAAGTCACCAAGATCTGAGGTATAACCAGCCAGCTTCACATCTCCCTCAAAACCACGCGAGTCGTCAGACTTGGTGTGAAGTCCCAGGTTGCCAAGCCCCTCCAGAGCACTGTAGAAGACAACTGTTGTAGGCTGGTCCGGGGGTGCATCGTCCCGCGGGACACCTTTTACTCGGGCAGCCCAGCTTCCTCCATGCTGTCCGCCAGGGACCTTGATAAAGTCAATTGTCAGATCCAGGGAGTTTCCAGCGTCGTGAATTGTTTGGCGCCCGCCCTTCCGAATATCGTACTCGTCCCATCCATAACCTGCCATCCCTTCATTCTGTTCGCAGGTGTGCCTGAAGTCTTGAAGAGGGCTAGGGTTAGTGAAACTATCAAAAGAGGGCAATGGACGTCCCTAATGGTAAATGAAGGACAACTGTTGGGGACACGTACTGGACTGAGCCGTGGCGTAATCATCTACTTTCGCCCACATCAACCCCGCGGACAGACTATTTGGAATCCGAGGGCGAACGCCAAAGTAGAGGTTAGGCTTATAGGGACCCCATAATAGCGACTGGTTGTTGGCTCGCGCAGCCTCCTTAGCTAGAACCGATACGTCATTATCTATGGATGCCGCAACCACATAGAAAAACGATGTTGAAAGAGTGAATAGTTTGGAAAGATGCATTGTCTGGACAGAAAGCGTGAACAATTAAATGAAAGTCCACGCAATTGGAGGCGTGCACATAGACAGGATGGCTATGTCACGGCGGAGGTTGATGTTACTATCTATTATCTGGCATCTCACGAGCGGAGAGCTCCTGTCATTTATTTACCCGGTATTTTTAGCTCCGCTCCGCACCTTGCGCGGCCGAACATATTAATTAACCTTAAAAGACCACACATACTAGAGATCTACCCGAGGAAATGTGTATGCGTAACAGACAAAACCCTCTACAAGGGAATATTTTAACTGAGATATTCTATACAATCCTTTAGTCTAGAGATAGTTCCTTGGATCAAGCGATCCGATCTTCGCACTCTTGCTGCGCCATCGAACACAAACTCGCTGATAAGCTTTCCTGTGCCTGGTGCATTCTGGATGCCCCAGCAAGTGTGCCCAGCCGCAAGGTATAGTCCCTTGGTTCCAGCATGGCCTACCAATGGCCCACCACGTGCAGCAGTTACATTAGGTAGGTAGCAGGCTTGACGCGCACAGACTTGTCCATCACGTAGCTCATCAGAGACGCTGCCCACCTGGTTGATGATATCCTGGCACCGCTCTTGGTCTACCTCGACGTCTGCAGTTGTCTTCGGAAGGGGAACAGTATGATCACCCTCTCCACAACAATAGACTGTGTCGTCAGGGCGAGCATAGATTTCTGGCGAGGCGACCGTCGGACGTGAGGACTTCGACGGGTCGAAATTGGCCGGTATCTCTATATTCGTGAAAAGGGTATATCCACTGACTGGCCTTGTAGGCCGGATCACGACACTATGAGCACGCGTTGCTGATATCGGGGCATCCGGCAAAACCGATCTCGTCCACGGACCGGCAGCGATAACAACATCAGTTGCAGGGATTGTCTGTGATTCGCCGTTCTCCTTCCTCGTGTATGTGACTGACTTGACGGAATCCCCAGAGTAATCGATGTTTGTGACGGATCCAAGCGTAATCTCTGCGCCTTTCTCCTCAGCGAGCTTTGCGATGGACGTAGTGAAGAGGTATGGGTGGACTTGCGCGGTCTCCCCCGGATCACTCATGCTTTCGTAGCCTCTAACACCCTCTGGTTCAAGCCAGTCAAGATCACCGGGTACCCTTGCGGTTTTCAATTTACTCAGTGCAGCTGCACTCCGTTTTTGTAAGGATACTGAGCTCACACCCTCACTCTCGCCCACCTTTCTCTTCTCGCTGAGCGGGCGACCTCTGGCGATAAGCTGGCCACAGTTCACCTCTCTATATCCCCACTTTTCCTTTCCATTGTGCTCCCTAGCAAGCTCCGCGTGCAATTTGTAGCTCAATGGTACAATGTTGCTTGGGTATGCCCATAATGCTAAAAGACCGCCTGCTTTGCCCGAAGCCCCTCCTGCAATCTCTGTTGCTTCTATGAGGGTCACTGAGTGTCGGGAAGGATCAAAAGAAGGATGTCTTGTCAAATAATACGCTGAGCAACATCCGATGATACCACCACCTTAGACGAAGTTGTTAGTCTCTGGTATGTATTGGTCGTGCGGGGTAAGTCTCAGTAAGCTCAAGTCGATTCATACCAACGATAACAATATCCCGACGTTCGTTTGGGGCTGCCATTTTGCAGTACGGCGCGATCCTAAACCCTAAAACCCTCAAAGGAGCCACTGTTGTTGGGGGCTTGGGGGAAGAAGTTGTTGACGGGCTTTTGGTACGGGTTGGGGGATATTAAGCCATTCTTTTTTATACAAGCGCATACGTCACTACGAGTCATGTGCTCGGCCAGGCTAATGCCGAACATTCGCATACATAGTTAATAGCCGTATCATCTCGTTGGCACTATCTCTTTGGCTTGTGCAAGGACAAGAAAAACATCTAAAGCCTGTCCAAAACCTTGCGCGGGTGAAAAGTGCAAGAGAAAGTAAACCTTACTCCAACAATGCATATGGCTGTAGTCAAACCCCCAGCTAAAAAATTGGTCCCGCCTTAACAGATACGAAAGAAGAGCAGAAAGAGGAAAAAGGAGAAAGGGGTCAAATATTAACGAATAGAGGCAATTGATCCATCCATCATCTTGAAGGACTGAGTGGTCGGTTGAATCCTCCTATACGGTTCATATACTGTCTGTATTCCGTCTTCTTTTCCTTCCGCACCCCATAGACATCGTTCCCAGGTACCTTGGTATTCTTTGTGCTCCTGAATTTGGTAAATCCCATGCTTCGACGCATCATTTCTTCAACATCGTCTTCCCCGGCATCATCGATGTCCATGTCCATTTCGTCTTTGTACCGATTTGGAGTCCTCGAGTCAGCGGCACCATTCGGCTGTGTCCGGTGGTCTTTGCGATCATTCCTGCGGTCTCCCCTGGCTCCCCGAAGAGGTGGTGTCCTGGATCTATCCCGGTTGCCGTTTCGAAGAGGGGAGCGAGAACGGTCACGGTATCTATCCCCTTTTGGAGGATACCCTGCGAGATTCAAATATCAGCGCATATCCAAATAGAAAACCACACCACGTAACATACCTCGCTTATCGTAGTATCTGTCGCGGCTACCGCTTCTGTCTCTGTCTCTCCTGTCGCGATCCCGATCGCGGTCCCGGCGATCCCTAGACCTACTCCTATCTCGCCGCCTGTCCATTCTATCTCTTGAGCGGGAACGGTATCTTCGATCGTCGCGCGGTCCATCTCGTCGCCCATCATCCTTTAAGTTTGCTTCACGTCTAGGACTCCTATTATATTCCGAGTCTGGTTCAGGTGAACGCGTCGGCCGGTCATCCATATCCCACATTGTCGAGCTATCGACTCGTCGGGCTCGCTTTGCGGGTGGTTCGGCCATCCTTGTATGTAGGGAACAAGGTGTTATCTAGTTGAAAGTCTGAAGATGCGATCGTTCAAGAATAAGTTAGAGTAGTAGAGTTGTTGACTCTGTAAAAACAATAGCTGAGAAGGTTGGCCGGGAAAAATCGAAATGAACGTGATACTTTGCGATAATATGTTAATTATTTCATCATTATTTGCTTAGAATGGGTATCAAATGCTTAGAAGTCGATAGTGCTGAAGGTTGGCGTTGCACCCGGATTGAAATTGAGACCGTGAAGATATTACGGTTGCCGAGGAATGCCATTTGCGCGGTCGGTCAATCAAGTAAAGTTTAATTTCCAACAATCCTGAAACACAACCATATTAAAGAGGAGTGCTACAAAGCATCACCATATGTCAATCTTCATGCATACGACCGCATTTCTATCAGCTTTGAGCTATATATATTATAGTATGGCTGTTCTTTCTATACTCTTGATTCTTCTAGTTTATTAATGTACCTCTCTTGATTACTGAGAAGATAGGCTCATTTTTGTAATGCGAGCAATTTCGAGTACCTACCAATAAAGCAAATGTTAATAGTTAGCCCACCAAAGAGTAGTATGAGACTATCGATCGCCATTCAATATACAGTATCTTTATTCTACCAGTGTAAATGACACAACGGTTGTATACAATCTTTCTCTCAGAGTCTGTTTTAACATCCAGGCACGCCCCAACCGTTCCTCTGACATTTTCCCAAGGGCTTAGGAGGAAATATTGCTTACTTCCCAGTACAGACAAATAGACTGGCTTGGCCCAAGGAGAAAAGCCAAGGACAGCATGATGAATTATTGCGCCCCAAGCAAGAAGGTAGTGGTGGCATATCTTTTTTTTAATCTTCGCCATTCCCTCCATATAGCCCCTGTCTATTGCCTGCGCTCATGCGCGACGGGAACATTGTCGAAATACTTCTATACTCCGGACTAAATATTTGTCAGATTGTAGGTTGTCGCGATTTTCCGAAACGAAAATGGCAAGTCTGGATCGTGACGGAAAAGTCACTGTATTTGAGCCACCTCCAGCTTGACATAAAGCTTTTAGGTACGCAGTAGCTTATTTCCGTGCTCGCGTTTAAATAGCCTGGCGCCTGCAAATCAACGCTTCAAGGATGCATGCTGCACTTGCCAGTTGGATTGCAGGGCGGTAAACAGTCTTGTGTCCACGGCCCGTCCCGCCGAGCCTCAGACTAAGTCGCCAACGGCAAAGATCACCTATTCTTTGGAAATCTTTTATGCCCGATGTCTCCGACCCCTCAGACACACAAAAATAACCCCGCTATTCCCTAGATCTACCAACGCAACTGCCTACCATAGAATTACAGTTTCATTTGCCCATAGCGATGGCACCTGCAAATCTTTCTCACAGGCAAACGCATAATTTACTCTTAATTTCAAAGCTTCTAAGTCTGAGAGATACAGCGTCTCCGCTGACGTTGCTCTTGGATTCACTCGAACAACCAGCTACCCCATTGGTTAAAGAATATATTAGGCGCGCAAAGGTATGTGCTGTCGATGCTTTCCTTATTCTGTATTATCTCGATCTTTGTATCGGACCCGGACTTTCTTGTGTCTACTCTATTTGCTGGACTCAAGGGGTTGGATACGCCATCAGGCCTTTGATGGGGCGAGATGAATATTTGTATCATAGGCAGGATAAAGCTAAAAGCTCGTACAGATCTCCAAAGTTCATGTCACACTTATTGCTTTCGAGACACTAAAGCCCTTAGATGGCGTTGATGCGTTCGTTTCCGCCCGAAGGAAAAGCCCCTCACAGATAGTTAAAGAAGTCGGCGCGGCCTACCAGGCTACTTCAACCAAAACCCCTTCTCCTCGTATGTCTAGTGCCGACTAGTCTGAGTATTAGAGTCATTGGTGGCCCTGACTAACAAACAATAGGACGTCTCATCCTTATAGATTCCATTAACCCGCTTCTACTCTCTAAAACAAACGATGCACACTCCCAACTATCAACGTTTCTTAGTTCTTTCCTAGCTCACCCGAGTACTTCAGCACCTAAGGTCGAAGTTTCGCTCGTCGTGACATTCCATCAGGATGTTCCAATCCTGCCGGCCCAATCCCCCTATTCGCCATCGCCTCTTTCAATGCTGACCTATCTCGCAACAACAATCATAAGGCTACATTCTTTCTCACACATACTGGCCCAGAAGGCTGCTCGAGATCGTAGTCTAGCTGCCCCAGTTTTTGGACTTGAAGAGGAACAGGATGGAGTACTCTTAGGAAGATTGGATAAGCCGATGGGTAAGGACTCGGCCGAAGGCATCGTTCTGGAGATGGAACACAGGCGCAAGAGTGGACGTGGTGTTTTAGAGTGGTATATATTACCTCCCGCATCACGGTACTCGCCTCAACATTTGAAAGAGGTTGTAACGCTGCTTGACGACCATCCCTTGTATCGTCCACCGGAGGAGCCAGTGGCTGGAGCAGACGAAGAAGAGCCGGAGTCTACTTTCGAATTGCGTCTCACCGACAGACAGCGGAGAGAAAGAGAGGGGGTGGTGCTGCCATACTTCGATGCACAGCAAGGTGACGGCCCAGGGGAAGGCGGGCGCATTTTGTACGACATGGGAGAGGAAGACGACTTCGACGAGGAAGAAGATGAGATATAAGTGGGCACGGATAGTCACTGTTCTCGACGCACCTTCTTTAGAAAATCAGCGCAGGACCATCTTCCCTACGCCCTTACGCTTGTTGTCAGCTGGTGTTGCCAGCCATGCTTGAAGGGGACCAAAGGACATCGTTTACATTTTGGACTGTTTACAGTATTCTGGTCAATTGACCTATTATACACGACAGGGTTATGATCTATGAGGCGCTTTGATGAACATGCTTTGTAAAGTTCCCATGGAAAGAAAGGGTTACGCCTTGCAACCAAGCTCATCGGTCATAAAATATTGGCAGTTTTTGAACATATCAAGGTGGATGGAGTCCGGCAACCATCAAGAAGATTAACTATGCATACATTCATATGAGCGGGTCTCGGTAAGCAGTTGCTCAGGGAAGGAATTAGAAGAAGCGCAACCAAATGAGAAATATAAAAAGGAGCCCGACACCAGCAATTGGGCCATACTGTACAGCAGGTTAGTACTGGGCTTAGTGAGAACGAGCAAGGACACGCGGAGGTTACCTGTTTCATGACCAGCTCCCAATTGATGCGCACCGCGGCTCGTCTGTATTTCTTGCTGTCCTCTCGCAGACGCCCCGACAACTCGCCCATACGCTCTAAGCTATCACCTCGGTATAGGAGGTCCTCAATGTTCTTTGTCATCACTTTCGTTACGTCCCGAAGCTCATCGTTTAGTCGGTCGAGGTTTTGCGAAGCGCGACTATCTTGGTACAGCTTCTTGGTGCGTTGAATAAATGTATCAAATTCTACAAATGCATATGGTCGCAGGGTGGGAGACTGGTACTGCGCAGAGGAGTAAGTGGTAGTAAACTCGGTTGCGAGATCTGCGAGGTAGGTGAAGGCAAGTTTGCGCGGGTAGGAACGGTCGCATATACAGAGGAAGCAAATATCATCTTGGATAAGATAGCTATGATAGATACTGGAATTAGTATTTGTATCGTCTTGCACCTTGTATACCGGACTCACTGTAGGTTATATTGGCCAGACTCAATGCTAGCTTGCGGTGCGGAATTGCGAGTCAACCGGCGGAAAATCATTTTGGCTTGTGTCTTGATCTCGGAGAGCTCCACTTCTGCCTATTTGGAATAATGGAAAACTCAGTGTTACTCATATGTCATTGTTTCACGGTGAATGGGCTGTGAACTGACCTGTTCATCGTCTACTGACGCAGCCAGCATGAGGCCTTGACCAACATCAGCAACTGCATCATACAACCCCTAATCTCCCCGCATTGCGTCTTACCATCAAGCCTGGCTATTTGAGTCGATTTAACCATTTTGATTACAACTCTTCTTGCCTATCAGACCTTCACCTTGTTCGAATAACGCTTTGGTTGCAGTTCAGCTGGAGCGGCGCATATAGTACTTCTGTTGTTGTCCAGACTGGCATCTAGAAGCAATGACCCGCAAGCGCAAGGCGGTCGGCCATGGCAAAACAAGGACGCAGCCAACGAGGTAAGACTATCCATACTATATTTATCTAGCTTGTGACAATTATTATCTACGAGCTGTTGAGACACCGGTGCTCAGATGCGCCATATATGGGGCACATTTAACAATGTTTCTACACCAGGAATTGTTCATCTACTGCTAAGACAGCGGACCCGAATGACGTGGGCGAGCCGCATGTCGCAATGTCCTCAAACAACAAGCAACCGAAGAGAAATCCGAAGAGAGCGGCGAAGGATCCATGGGCTGAGGACAAGTTGATGACGAGTACATCTTCCAACCTTATATATTTGGACCTTGTGGTATGTTATACGATTCCGGAATGATGGTGACCTAATGCAATGTGTTGACTGATTGGCAAATCAAGAAATTACTCGCCAACCCCGACGCCTGGAACTGCCTTGAGGAGTCTGAAAAACGAGAAATACTCGATCTACTCCCTGAAGACCTACATCCGAACCCGGACCCTTCACCGGACGATCCTGATGCGCAGATCCCCCCTTTACCAGAAGAGTTTCTTCGTTACTCGAATAATTGGCGAGACGGCATTCGTCACTTTCAGCTAGATCTTCAAAATGGCCGCTACGATCCAGTTTGGCTGCGGGAGGCCGAAGAGGCCATGCAGCAGCGGGCCGATGGGAAGTTTGACAAATTTAAAGAAGAAGAGTTTGAGCAGTTTTGGGGGCAGAAACAGAAGATGGACAAGACGCTGGCCGCAGGACAGAGTAGCCAGGTCAAATTGAGCACCCTCATTAGCAACGGAGTTATTCTTGTAGGCGATGTATGGAAATATTCTCGAGCTTTCAAGAGTAAAGGTAACCTCCTAGTGGAGAAAGAAGCCAGGGTATGTTTATATCCATAGCTCCGTTCGGACCCCTTCAATTGACGCTGCTACAGATAGTGCATATCCAAAATGACCGGTTAACGTTCGAATTGCCCCCTCATCAACGGGTATTTCTTCCTGCCCCCCAGACCTTACCTTTGAAGGACTCGCAAGCCCTAGTTATAGGGGAAATCGAGAAACCAGGTGGCGTTATAACGACCACTACTGAGATAGAGCAAAATAGGACTGCTCAAGCAAGTGCAGACACGCAATCAGATACTAATCCAATGTTAGAGGCTGGATCCTCTACCAAGCGTAAATCAGAGATACAGATGGAACCTCGCAAGAAGGGCCGCAGCAGAAAGCCCAAGGTACAGACACCAGAGGACCTCGAAGTTGACCAAGTAAAAGCCTCCACCGAAGTTACAATGCCTGCTCAAGTGATGGTAGAAATCACCAATCCACCACCAACAGAAGCAAATATGACTACGTCTGTTATGACTCAGACAACTACTACGGAACCTGACTGCCAAGATCCGAAAATCGTTTTTGAACAGCCCTCTGCCACTGTTGAAGACACCCCCCAACGACTACCAATCGTTGAAGGGACATCGGAAGAACCTGGGGTGATCACGGTCTCCGGTATTACGGGGCCTAGCGCACTTGCAACCAAAATTTCAGAAATCGATGGCCGTGCCGCGAACGTTCGGCACGGAAATGCTTGGAAAGATTTTCGGGCGTACAGAAATAATCAGGATATGGGTAGCCTATGGGAGGTCAGACAAGCTTGGTTTCTGAGAAACAAATCGTTGGCCAATTGACTTCAGAGAGCTGTAAGCTTGATTTTGTTGATCTTCTGAGGGCACCTAACAGGAAAATACTGTTCCTGTGTCAATTCTCACGTCTCATATGCGGGTTCATACCCCTTTCTTTGCGATAGTTGACTGCTGCAATGGTCATATATTCCTTTGTCATGAGCGAAAGATACCACACATGTATTATCATCAAATTCATTAATCCTTTCGTTAAATCTAGAACTTTTGCTCTAGACCCCACCATTGCCTGTCCCCATGCCGAAAATAGCTTCGTCCTTGGACGCCCTTTTATGATCGCCGCCAGCAGCGTAATCAACGGCATAGCTAGACTGTATGAAGTCCTCCAGCTCCTCGCTAACAGTTTTCAGCTTTTCCTTCACACTCGCAACACCCTCCTGTCCTACTATATGGCGCGAGGGTGGGTTTTCATGCCCACCTATCGCGGTGATGGCATATACCGTTTCTGCGACCAAGACCTCCATATGTGCAGAGCTGAGTGGAGGATACATTGCCGTAACTTCAGGGCGTGAAAATGGTCCATTATCAACGGAGGTAATTTGGCCAGTTTCTTGGGTTCCATTCGTTTCGGTGTGTGTGTTGGGCAGACGAGGCACAAGTCGGTTTAACATACCGCGGAAAAGGGGTGCTTGGTTTGAAGCTGGTGAATATGCGGGAACTATTGGAGGCACGCTAGTAACTAGATTCGTGAGAATGCCAATTTCGATACTACATTGGATAATTGTGAGTTTGAGGTTGAAGGGGGCTATCTCGTATGCAAGACTCTGCAGCGTGACAGTTAGCAGAAATGGGTGAAGCCTCCGGCACAGATTGCACTCACGTCGCAAAACCCTTCAAGAGCCCATCCGGCTGCGCAGTACATCCCAAGCCCTGGCGTGCCGATATGGGCGGCTGTCTTCGTTAGCGATTAACCTCCCTTAAAACCAGTATTGATTGAGCCTTACTAATCCCCGAGAGAATCATGATGTGCCCAGTTTTCTGCTTCCTCATATGCGGAAGTGCTGCTTTTATAATGCTAAGGGGCCCGAAATAGTTGATTTCGAATTGGTCCCGAACCATGTTCAGCGTTTGTTGGGAGGCCCCGAACTCCTCCACTGTCCCTACTAGGGCTGCGCAGGTAGTTAGCTAAATGACCGGCGTCGAAAGGAGCATGTTGCATATTCCATACTTTGACTTGTACAGCAAAGAAGAATGTCTATCTTGCCGAATGTTGTAACGGCATCTGCACAAGTGCTTGACATTCTCCTATCATCCTGCATGATGAATGTAAGCTCACTCCGCTCCCCCTTATAGCCGACGCTCCACGGCGAGGTCATTTTGAAGGCATCTTCAGAGTGCACACCTTATATCGAAAGGGACGGACTTGAATCGCTGTCGCCACCCCTCATGGCTGTGACTATCAATCTCGGCTAGGAAAGACTCGAATTCATCTCGACGGCAATCGTCCCGTTCTAGACTCGAATGTGCTAACCCAGCCAATGCGTAATCGCCGTGCGTGAGGATTTGGCGTATGACTGAGATCCCAGTGGGCGAATCCCCAGCAGTGATCACCCATACTCGTGGTTCATTATGGGCGGGAAACTGAGGGCGGGGGGATTCGGTGAAAGGAGGATTGTCCGACATTAGATCAAAGCTGATGATATCTACGCGCCACACATGTCGACCGCGCGACAATTATTTGTAGGATCTGATGTTACCGATCTAGATAAGTAGTAAAGGACCCGGGCGGCCGATCAACTGCGGTTCAGGACGGTTTTCGTGTCCGTGGAGCTGGGAAATGTGGAGAAATGAGCACAGAGGGAACAATCGCGTTAGTTATGTCATGCGCCGATAAGAACAATTCCTCGACCCGCCAAGATAAAACGACCCGAGTTCTGGACCAAAGCGGCGTAGTTCAGCAGATTACTAGCAGTCCGCCGTTCGTGGCCTTTTCCTTTCTTTTCTCTTCCCTCCTTTCCTCTGCTTTTACCCTCCCTCTCTTGTCGACCAGGCCACTGTATCTCTGGGTCACGTCAAAAGAGAGCACAATGCCTGAACAAAGACAGCGCAGGGATGAGCCGGAGTCTAGTGTACGTATGCGACGTAGCGTCATCTTTTACCAGGCTGATCGCGCTGACATATCATATATTTAGTCCGGCTTCAAGGGAGCCCTTCAGGGTTTGGCTTTCTTCTTACTGACGCAGTTCATCTTCAGTCAATTCTTTGGTGGCCGCCAGCAGAACGATGCTGGTACTAGCGGGAAGCCGAGTGGAATTCCTACCTTCGCAGATCGTCCAGCTCGTAGCGAAATAACGGAGTACAGTGCTATCCCCGATGTTATAAATCCGATTTGGCCTTCCGACAGTGCTTTGGACATGAACATCTACGTCTCGCCATCGGTCGTACTTCCTACTGCAAAGTCTGGCCCGGCAAGCCAACTTGTGCTCAATGAGAAGAACTTCACTCTTGGAAACTACAGTGACACCAGGGAAATTGATACTACCATCAAGATCCCCAAAGAAGTACAACAGAATGGCACTCTTTTCGCGCACTTCATGCTCGGACTTACCGGGCATCAGCTTGACCCCTCGGCCAAAGATTACAGCACGGACTCTGCAATTTATTTCTTTCGTCCACTTAACCAGTATCTCCCGAAGAAAAAAGCCAAGAAGCTCAAGAACCTTCTTGCAGGTTCTGACGAAGCTGAAGAAGAGGTGGAAGACAACATACCGGAAGTCTCCATCGCATCGTACTATCACCCGAACTTCACGATATCTCTAATTCCGGATTCGGGTACCCAGCGATTCCGCCAGATTCATCCGGCTGTCCGGTCGCATTTGCAGCTAGAGGCATCTGGCGCAAGAGACGCCTCTGGAAAGAATGGATGGTACTACCCTATTGTTTACTTGAACACTTTTTGGCAACTGAAGAGTCATATGATGGAGCTTAATTCCACCGTGGAGACCGTGCCTCTTCGCATTACCCTCAGCAATCTGCAGAACTGGAAGTTCAGCATGATGGCGAGCGTCGATGACAGCGCAAAACAAACTGCTCGACAGGCTGCCTTTGGAGCTTCGACACCGGGTGGCGGTGACGGTACTGAGTTCGAAATGGTGAAAGAGGTCCTCTTGGATACGAACATCTGGCTGCTGGGCACAACTGGTGTCGTGACCATCCTTCACATGGTCTTCGAGACTCTGGCCTTCAAGAATGATATTGTGAGTTTGTAACCCGTGCAGATCTAGAGCAATGCACTGACCTAGTCTTTCCGTAATAGGCTCACTGGCGCAAAAAGAAGGACGTCGTTGGAACGTCCGTCCGTACGATCTTGGCCAATGTCTTTATGCAGGCAGTTGTTTTCCTCTACCTCATGGATAACAGTGAGAACACTTCCTGGATGATTCTTGCCAGTCAGGGCTTTGGTATCCTCCTCGAAGCTTGGAAAATCACAAAGACTGTCGATGTCCGGTTGCGGCAGCCAGCACCGAACTCTTTCTTCTCCTTCCTGCCTTATGTGGTGGTATTTGAGGACAAACATAAACTCACTGAGACAGAGCAGAAGACCAAAGAGTACGACGAAATCGCGTTCCGCTATCTCTATATCATTGCCGTACCTCTCCTTGCTGCATACGCAGTGTACAGCTTGGTCTACAACACCCACAAGTCGTGGTACTCCTACATTATTGAAACACTTGTTGGGAGTGTCTATGCCTACGGTTTCCTGATGATGGTCCCCAGCTTGTATATCAACTACCGCTTGAAGGTTAGTATTTTTTTTTTTACTCCGCTACATAACCTAGCTAACCTTGCTGTTCCTAGTCTGTTGCGCATATGCCTGGCAAAGCGTTGATGTACAAGTTCCTAAACACCTTCATCGACGATCTTTTCGCTTTCACAGTCAAGATGCCGTGGCTTCACAGGCTTGCGACTCTCCGTGATGATGTCATTTTCTTCGTTTGGCTTTACCAGGGCTGGAAGTACCGGGTTGATTACACACGTGTGAACGAGTTCGGTCAGGGAGGTGATAGCGATGCTGAGGAAGAGCCACCAGCCGTTGACGCCAAGGATGTCAAAGAGAAGGCAGAAACCGCGGCGCCATCCCAGGCGTCCGGAAAAGATACCTCCAAATCATCTACCCGCAAGAGGAAGTAAGCCAGCCCTTGGTTTAGATTCCGAATCTACTTATGTTGGGGAGCATACTCGGAGAGGACTGCCCGGTGGTTGTTCCGCTAAATATGTTTATTGAGCAGAGGTTCCTGGACTTTGTTATACTGGAGGCATACTAGAGCATCGTCTCACTCAGTACACAACTAAACACCCTGCTTTCTCACCTACTTTCCACCATGTAAAGTTTTTAATGTATTAATTGTTGAATCTCAGTCCTATTACGTATTTTCATCATATATATTTTACACATTAAACCTAGTATCACCGAGTAAGAGACGGCGGCATGAGCCTTGCGCAACATGATATTGAGGAAGATCGCGGTAGTGACCAAATCTGGTAAAGTTCGTAATTTCCGCGCCCATGGAATTTACTTACATTCATCATTGCAGATGCCCATAAGTTAAGATTGTGCGATTGGAAGATAATATGTACAAATTGTCAAGAATACAACAAGATAATATATATCAGTGAATGACAAATGCGAATGGGAATAGCTACCGCATATCATTTAAGGGAGAGTTGAATTGACTGTTTACTCACTATTTATCGGGGCGACGCGACAGGTCGGGCGGCACGCAAAATAGCCGATGTTATCCTAAACCAACGCCATTTGTAGGGGCAAAAGGCGCGAGCATGAGAATCAGCTGCAGTAGTTACGATTAATACCAAAGCCTACGATGTCGTCTGATACAGATACAGGTTCGTTACCTTCGAACTCCTGGAAGTGGACAAGTTTACTGACAGCAATACCAGGCGCAGAGTCTAGGCCTACTGGCCTACTAGATGCAATCAAGCGTCTTGAGGCAGGTAAGATCACATCTAGAGCTCACGGAAAATCTATA